ATTTGCTCATTTTCTAGTAATTTCTTGGGTCTGTAGAGATGTGAGGTGGGAAAAGATAATGTGAAGAAAAATCAGGTCCAACCCCCAGTGGGTTGTGACATGTAGCAACACCGAATCACAACTACATTTATTTTTCCATCCAAATTTTTTTTGGATAGCATTAGAGAGTTGGTTACAATAATGTTGATGAGAACTTGAATTTTTTCACCCACTTATTCATGCATCTGTGATTGTTTATTTATTTGAGTTAGGGCACAAGGCAATCAATTTACAAAACTGTAGAGAGCAGAGAATTTTCCCCTTAAGGAATCTACAGTCATTTGGTTAATAGTACAAACCATTAACATCTAATCATAATTATTATATTTGAACTATTCTGTTAAATCCCCATAAATCAAAGCAATCATAAATAAATGGTCTAGGAAAAATATTTCGTGAAAAAATTCAGTTTCTATACGATAAGATTGATATCTCTGCGTCTCTACCAATACCTTCCTTTGAAATTACCTGTCATTCTTCCTTCTGTGTGAATAGAGGCTCCTTGTTTCAAGCTTAGACTGAACACTTTCACCTCAGGTCATTCAATCAACATCTACTGAACGCCTGCTATGACCTGAACCCTTGGAGTCTATGTTGGGCAAAAACAGTTTACAGATTATCAATTATATGGATACTGATCATAATTTTCAATTTCATTTTTGATGTTTTTTAAACCCACATGTTATGCCTCTTCATTTGCCATCTGGGATTTACTGAAATTTATGAAGCATGTAGTCACTTTTCAAAATAAGTAACCTAATAGAGGACACATTTTTTTCTGAATATTTAAAAAATCATTTCACTGCAAGGACGATAATGCATATTTGACTTGGTTCTTCTCATGGGCTCAAAAAAGGCTCAGGTGTTCAAGGTTGTTGAGCTGCTAGCAACATTCTATCAGGCCTCCCTGTATACTGCACAGAGGCCACTGATGGATATACCTGATGGTAACTGAAGATGTCCAATGACTGGAAATGTATAGGATAATCTTGTGCTGTGAAAAGAGAACTTATTCTTTGTTCTGAATCAGCCACTTACTCCTCTGGGCCACAATTTTCTCATGGTAAAAATTAGAAGTTTATCATGGCAAAAATAAATGAAATGACTTTCAAGGTTCTCCCATCCCTAAATTACTAGGATTCTAAATGAGTCCTCCCCTGTGGGGTCACTGGCCACACGTGGCTCCTGAACACTTGATTCATGGCTGGTAGAACTGAGATGTGCTGTAAGTAAAAAATACTCACCAGATTCTCAGTTAGTACCAAAAAACATAAAATATGTTGGATATATTGGGTTAAAAATATGATTAAGGAGAAACCAAGATGGCGGCATAGGTAAACACCGGAGTTTGCTGCCTCACACAACCACTTCAAAAATACAACTAAAAGACAGAACAGACCTCATCCAGAACCACAGGAAGGCTGGCTGAGTGGAAATCCTACAACTAGAAGGAAAGAGAAAAGCATACCGAGACTCAGAGGAGGTGCAGTGTGGAAGTAAAATACTAAGGTACAGAGGCTCACACGGAGCGGGCTGGCGGCTGAGGGCGCGGTTGTCTTTTTCAATCGGGAGGGAGTCTCAGGCTCTGAGCTCCAGTTCTGGGCCAGTCTCTGGGGACCTAGACTCATACGGGAGAAATGGGACTGTCTGGGATCGGTTGGAACTCGAGGGCAGTTTTCTCTCGGAGGTACTTGCAGCAATTGCTGGGACACTGAGAAGCGGGGCCTCTGAAGGCAGGACTGAGAGCAGCCATAACTGCTCGCTCCACCTGCCCTGTTGATCTCTTGGGACCCGCCCAGCCCAAGCCTTGCACGGAGGCATTTGCTGGATAGCCTCAGGCAGAGGCTAGATTAGCACCTCCCTAGAGCTCCAGGACAGAAGTTCTCCCACTGCAGACACAGCTGATTCTCACAGCCAATTGGCCTGGAGACCAATCCCTCCCAGTGTTACTTACAACAATCAAGGTTTAACTACAACAAGACTGTGCACAAAGACTACAAGGGGAAGCACCAAGAGTGTCCTCCTCAGGTAATTGGGGAGGCTGAACCACTGGGCTCCAGAGGACACTTAGCACAGAAAACCACTTTATCAACACAAGGAAGCATAAAAAATGCGGAGACAAAGAAACAGGACACAAATGACAGAAATGGAGGAAAGCAAACTGCTGGATATAGAGTTCAAAAGCACACTTTTAAGGTTTTTCAAGAATTTTCTAGAAACCGCCGATAAATGTAGTGAGGTCGTCAAGAAATCTAGTGAGACCCTCCCTCGAGGATATGAAAAAGGACCAACTAGAAATTAAGCATACACTGACTGAAATAAAGAATATTATACAGACTCCCAACAACAGACCAGAGGATCGCAAGAATCAAGTCAAAGATTTGAAATACGAAGAAGCAAAAAACACCCAACCGGAAAAGCAAAATGAAAAAAGAATCCGAAAATACGAAGATAGTGTAAGGAGCCTCTGGGACAGCTTAAGCGTACCAACATCCGAATTATAGGGGTGCCAGAAGAAGAGAGAGAGCAAGATATTGAAAACCTATTTGAAGAAATAATGACAGAAAACTTCCCCTACCTGGTGAAAGAAATAGACTTACAAGTCCAGGAAACGCAGAGAACCCCAAACAAAAGGAATCCAAAGAGGACCACACCAAGACACATCATAATTAAAATGCCAAGAGCAAAAGACAAAGAGAGAATCCTAAAAGCAGCAAGAGAAAGAAAATCAGTTACCTACAAGGGAGTACCCATACGAATGTCAGCTGATTTCTCAACAGAAATTTTGCAGGCCAGAAGGGAGTGGCAAGAAATATTCAAAGTGATGAGTACCAAGAACCTACAACCAAGATTACTTTATCCAGCAAAGCTATCATTCAGAATTGAAGGTCAGATAAAGAGCTTCACAGATAAGAAAAAGCTAAAGGAGTTCATCACCACCAAACCAGTATTATATGAAATGCTGAAAGGTATCCTTTAAGAAGAGGAAGAAGAAGAAAAAGGTAAAGATACAAATTATGAACAACAAATACACATCTATCAACAAGTGAATCTAAGAATCAAGTGAATAAATAATCTGATGAACAGAATGAACTGGTGATTATAATAGAATCAGGGGCATAGAAAGGGAATGGAGTGACTATTCTTGGGGGGGAAAGGGGAGTGGGAGATGCGGGAAGAGACTGGACAAAAATCGTGCACCTATGGATGAGGACAGTGGGAGGGAGTGAGTGTGGAGGGTGGGGTGGGAACTGGGTGGAGGGGAGTTATGGGGGGAAAAAAGAGGAACAAATGTAATAATCTGAACAATAAAGATTTAATAAAAAAAATAAAACTTTTGTTTAAAAAATGATTAAAATGAACTTCACCCATTTTTGTAGTGTGGTTATAGAAAACGTATAACTGCATTTGCATTATTAACATTGGACAGCAGCACTCTGCACCTTCAAAACAAAGGGATCAAAACCTATCTTTAAGGACTTTAAATGTTTAATGGCGAGTGTTTCAATATTGTGGTCCTTATGCCTCTCAAAGTCAAGTTAAAACACTTATCTACCCAAAATGAATAAACCTTGCATGCACAGATATTTATCACCAAGTTCCTCTTGAGGTTGCTTTCTCTCCAGGTCCTGTGAGAGTCCTATGATTACAACACTCAACGGTCAGCCCCTCTGGTTTTGCCTCAAGTAGATCATAACAGATCATCAGGAAATACACCAAAATGTTAAGAATGATTATTTTTGGGTAATGGGGTACTGAGTGATTTTTGAATTTTTAAAATTCTTTTCTTCATCTTTCAATCTTTTAACAATGAAGACCATTATGCTTCTTCATTAGAAAAGTGCATATCTTTAAATTTCAGCATGAATTGCCGAAACCGGTTTGGCTCAGTGGATAGAGCGTCGGCCTGCGGACTGAAGGGTCCCAGGTTCGATTCCGGTCAAGGGCATGTACCTGGGTTGCGGGCACATCCCCAGTGGGAGATGTGCAGGAGGCAGCTGGTCGATGTTTCTCTCTCATCGATGTTTCTAACTCTCTATCTCTCTCTCCCTTCCTCTCTGTAAAAAAAAATCAATAAAATATATTAAAAAAAAATTTCAGCATGAATGGTTTATAAATTGTATAAACATGACAAATGTGTAAAAAAGAGGACACTTAAAAGGAAATACCCTAAAATACTTTAATCTGCTTTTCTATATTTCCAAACTTTCTATAGTGAATTGGTTATTTCTATCCAGGGACGAAATACACCTTATTTAAAACTTACACTATCCATCCCCCCTTTTAACCTTCAACCTATGTTAATCTGCAGGCTGGCTTTCTCAGGACGCCTGAAGCTATCTCCACTGTATTAAAGTGATGAGTAAATACTTCAGATTTTTTGCTTCAATCTTCAATATTTTTACAACTAACATCAAACAGAACAGTATTGAGTTAAGAGTTTATGCAGGAGATGGGGAAGAAACCCCAATGGTATTTTAATATGCCACATGCACAGGGGCTTAGGTTGTACTGGGAAAATGCCCTTCTAATTGGGTGTCATTTACATCTGAGTCCTGTGGCAGCAGGGGAGAGCACTTTCCTGTGTGCAGTTCAGACCAGTACACACACACACACACGCAGGCACACATGCACGCACGCACAGGCGTGAGGGGGGTTGTGCCCTATCTCAGTCCCACTGAGCATCCCCAACAGCTGCTTTTCTCACCTGCCCTCCATTCTTGAGGCCAGACCCGCCGCCCTACCTGCTGCAGAGCTGGCATCAGTGTGCGGGCAGGCAGAACAGAGCCAGGTGTGCTGTCTGCCCTGCTGGATCTGGAAAGAGCTGGGCTTCTAAAGGCCTATCAGGTATAATTGTGTAACCTGGCAATTTTTTTGGTCTTCCTGAGGGAATGTTTTTTTTCCAGCTCCTACAAGGCAACAGCCCTCTTGAATACGGCACTATTGAGCACAGAACTTACTGTTAGTAGAAAAGATAACTTCTCCCTCCTGCGGGGTGGGGTCTGTATCCTGGACCACCTGCAAGGCTCCCACAGTCCGAACAGCAGGGTCCAAAGTGACTGAACTTTCATTTACAGTCGTGTCGCTTGCACCTGTGATCTGGTTGGTTGGTGGGCCTCCCAGCGATCCCTCGTAGTCGGTGGGCAAGTCGTCCATGCAGTCGGCGTTGGGCTGACAGGAGCAGAAAAGAATCTGTTCTCAGTGTGTGTCATCAAGTTAGAGGCAAAATGTCTGCAGCCTAGATATTTTGTCCTGATGGAAAACCAAGTTCTTTACTGCTTTCTTCCTGAACCATTTTATTTTAAAAATGTTCACATGTAATGAACAGAAAAACATTTTCCAAAATTTCCTTTCCAAAGATTCCATTTTGATCTACATACAAGGTTTTAATCCCAGGAGTAGCAATATAATTACATAAGACCCATGCATTATTTGCAAATACTGATGACATGAGAGGGGGATATAGAATTGTGAATTATTCAACACACACACTCAGACACACACACACACACACACACACACACACACACACACACACACTACAAGGTGAGGCTATTTTTTGTTGTTAGACATAATCCAAAAACCTGCTATTGAAAAAAGCCCTATTTATTTAACATGCAATGAGCTAAATGAAAATCTTAGAATCATGACACTAGGGGAAGACCATGGAGTGTAATTACCCATCATTGCAGGATTCTTCCCCCAGTACCCACTTGTACAACATAGAAACGGGAGCTCTCTGCTTTGCAAGGCAGCCTGTGTTGCTCAGCTTTGCTAGGCTATTCCACTATTGGGGAACGTGGCAAGTTTTACTCGTTGGTTTTAGTTCTGCTGTTTAAAGTGATATTGAATATATCTCTTTCACAAGCAGCTTTTAAAATGACTTTCAATTGCTATACATTCACCTAAACTTATAAGAAAGGTGGTGTTGGAGAAAGATGGGCTTGAAAAATACTAAGAATAGCTATTAATTATTATTACTTTTGCTCTGTTCTGAACATCAATATTGTCTTGAGCGATGATAATTAAGTGGTTTTGCACCCCTAATGGATAAAGAACAAGGTGTGCAGGTGGGAATTCTGGGTTGACAATGATTATGTTGTGTTAGAAGTTCATTAAAAGAGAAAATCTATAGCTCATGGACTCATTGGAAGCAAAAAGCAAAAAACTCAAAGTGTTGGACTCTTGTCTTAGTTTTCTGCTATTAAACCAGTCTTCTGACCACCAACCTGTGTTTCCAGCAGCTGGAAATCTCCATCACTCCACAAAACCCTCAAATTCAGCTCATTCCCTTTTTTTCTGTATTCTCTCTCTCTTTTTTTTTGCCTCTTTGTCTCTGTTGGAAGTGAATCAAGTCATTGAAACTCAAGTTGTTGAAAGTCAATTCACTGAATGACTGAACTGCCAAACTCACTGATTGAGACACTGATCATGAGCAATTATGCTACGAACATTTCTCACCCCATTACTGGTCTCCTAATCTCTCTATAGTTTCCTCCCAGTACATCTCATTCTCCACTTTCTCACCAGAGCACTCTTTTTTTAAAACACAGATATGATTCTTCTTTTCTCCTAAAGAATTAATTACAATCTTAGTGTGGCAACACAGGCACCCTATAGCAGTGATGACGAACCTATGACACGCGTGTCAGAGGTGACACGCAAACTCATTTTTTTGGTTGATTTTTCTTTGTTAAATGGCATTTAAATATATAAAATAAATATCAAAAATATAAATCTTGTTTTACTATGGTTGCAAATATCAAAAAATTTCTATATGTGACACGGCACCAGAGTTAAGTTAGGGTTTTTCAAAATGCTGACACGCCGAGCTCAAAAGGTTCGCCATCACTGCCCTATAACCTCGGCTAGCCTACTCTTCTGGCCTCACCTCCAGCCTTTGGAAACACACCGAACACCATATATTCCCTATCTCAGAGCTTGAGCTAATGCTGTTCCTCCGCTCAGGGTGACATCTGCCCCAATCATCCGGCTCCCCTTTTCCATTCCAAGATCTCAAACTAACCCTCCTGGGGTACTCCTAATCACCCCTCAATTCCAAGTCCAAATGTCACCTTTTCTAAGTAGTGTTCCCTCCCAGGTAGCCATCCTCAGTACTATAACACCTTATTCTTACTTCTCCCACACTGTTATGGGTCACTGCACTTTCTTACTCTACTAGTCTGCCTTCTTAAAATTCCAGTTTTATTAAGATATAGTTAACATGTAATACTGCATTGTAATATTGTATTAATTTAAGGTGTACATGTAATGATTTGGTAAATGTATATATTGCCAAATGAACACCACAATCAGTTTCATTAACATCTATCACCTCACCTAGTTACATTTTTTCTTGTGATGAGAACTTTTAAGAGCTACTGTCTTAGCAACTTTCAAATATACAAAACAGTATTGTTAACTAAAGTCACCATATTGTACACCCTCAGAACTTATTTATCTTATAATTGGATGTTTGTACCTTTTAACCACCTTCACACATTTTGTCCTCCCTCCACCACCTGCCTCTGGCAACCACCTGTCTGTTCTCTGTTTCTATGAGTTCAGTTTTGTGGATTCCACATATAAGTGAGACACAAGCCTTTTAAAGTAACTCAACTACATTATATTGCTCTTGAATCACCTAGTGCCTGACAATTAGTAAGTGGTCAGAAAATGTCGATTTGAAAATTTTATCCGAGTCTCAGTTTACTGCTCTGAAAACTTGGGAACATTAGAATCTGCCCTACATTAAGAGAGGATTTGAGAAAATATTTTAAAAACTGACAAGTTCTGTTCAAAGGTAAGGTACACTATTGAAGGGTAGCAGAAAATGCCACCCCTCCATATGTTGGCATAAGGATTACTTTGAACTGAAATAATTGAGAAGGACATAAAGACATGCTCTCTGTCCTTCTTCTATGTGCATAAAAGCAGGACATATATTTGTAAATGTGTGCCCCCTCTGTATCAGGAAGGTAAGAACATTCTTATCACCAGTGATTGGGAATTGACTCTGAAATGGATCTGCACAAACAAACCTTACGAACATGACCTTATCTGCCCTTAGTTTCCCCAAGATATTTACCTCCTTGCAACCTGCTGTTCTAGAAACCCAAAGTTCTTTTCCTTTGTCTTGTTGCTTCTCTAAAATTTCATTGCTCTTTTTTTGAAGATGCTATATAAGCTCAACTTCTAAGCACCTTTTTGAGTTACTCATCACTCAGCATTCCATGTGTAGGTGTGGTGCATGTGTTAATAAATGTTGGCTTGATTTTCTCTTGTTAATCTTTTATGAGTCTAATTTACAGGGCCCCAGCAGGAGAACCTAGAAAGGTAGGAGGAAAAATAAGTTCTTCCCCTCCCTAATACCATGGAAAGATGCTTCTAAGCAAAACCCATTGTGGTGGGTATCGGGGAGGAAAAGGTTTCCCAGAGAGGATGGTGTGCGGTTGTTCTTCAGCCATAAGCATCTGAATGCAATCACATATGTGATAACAACTGACATGTTTTTCAAAATGTTGTGTTTGCTTGTCGATATTGTTCCTTTATTTCTTTTCTTTATTTAAAAACACATTTTATCAATTTTGATGCAGGGTGTTTGCCTTTACTTTGTGGACTAGTAAGAACAGTGTTACATCTTTAATAGAGGAAGGAGAGGAAAGAGAAGGACGGAATTAGCTCACTGAGACTGAGTGTTAGCAGGCATAAATAATTTGGGTTAGATATAATATTGAATACATCAGCCTTACTAACTTTCACATAGATTATATCCGCTCTAAATGGTTCATCAAATAGCAGGTTTTAAAAAGAAACCCAATTTATAATCGTCTAAGAGGAATTATCATCGTAATGTTTAGTAAAAGATGTCAAATATCATCTGAAAGTGAACAAGGTATAGGTATTCAAATTCAGGTTAGCATGGGGAAACTCCTCAAGTCAACCAACTGCCAAAGAGTCAGGGATTCGTGAATATACCAGCTACACTGTCTTTGCCATCAAACAGTCATCCTATTCACACCTGGATAACAGTGATGGGAGAAGGTGTTGGGATATGAAAAGCCCAGTTTATATGGTACATTATAGGCGTATTCACTGAAACCTGTGTTCTCTCATCTTATGGGACACCTAGACCTGACTGAACAGAAAGGGGGCTGAAGCACCGTAATGTAGATAAAGAGATGAAAACACTTCTGACAATAAAGGACCCCCCCCCCACTCCTCTCACCTTTCAGTTCAGTATTCTGTTTCTCCTGGTAAAATATAATGAAAAAATATGCCCATCGTAATGGGAATTTCATGAGCCCTGAGCTGTGCTTTTATTCTTTAGTTCATTTTAGAGAAATCCACTTACAAAATGAAAATGTTTCCAGCTCTTAGCTTTCAACTTATATTTACAGTAGGTCCTCGGGTTACGTCAGAGATCCATTCCTACGGCGCGACGTAACGAGATTTTCGCGCGATTTTCGCCGTAAGTTGGAACCCACCTACATAAGCACCTACGTCACTCACATGGAGTGCATACACAGCAGTAATGAAGCAAAAACAATTTAAAAGAAAGATAAAAATTCCTGACTTTTACTTGTGGTAAATAAATAATAAGAAACATAAAGCACATATGTACATACGTCGAAATGACGGAACTTTTTTTTTTAATAAATAAATGGGAGATGGCGACGTAACCATGAAACAACATACGTCAAGTCCAACGTAACCCAAGGACTGTCTGTATTTGCCTGCTTTAGCACAGGCAGCCACAAGGATACTCAGTTAAAACAACAGAAACAAAAACAAACCAAAATTCCTGCCACCTGTATTTGGACTAGCTAGCTGATCAGGATTACAACCAAGTCGTTGGTGAGTGGACGTTGATCAAAGATGGATCAGGGTGAATTTCATAAATTATGATTCTGTGACTGGCAGCCTTCAGACTCAGAAGGGCTATGTGCCACAGACATTTACTGAACAATTAGCATATGTAAGGGATACAGAGATGGAGGACCAACAAGCACCGATTACCAGAGAGTGACAGGCGCTTTTTAATTTTCCTTGATTGAGAAGAAATGGAGTATAGGAGTTTAGGAAGATCGTAAAGCAATTCCATAAGCTGTATAAAAAGGATTTTCAGTTAGCTATAGGAAGTGTGTTCTAGCTAAGAAGGTTATGAGTTTGGCCAATGACATGGAAAGTTCTAAGAATGGAGTAAAAATTTCATCTCTTTGGCATGATTTAGGCATGGTGCTACTCAGTGATGGAGGATAGAGTGGAAACAACAACCAAAATTTTCCCCAGATCCAGACTTCAGTATCAACCACCAGGACAAAAACAGAGAAGTCTCAGGAAGGCACGGGGGCAGGGCGAGGGGGGAGTCATATGCCTCGGTGCTGCTGAGAAGTAGCGTAATCCACGTGCCTTCCCCATGGAGGATGTTCTGTTCTCTGGGGCGAGCTCGGATGGGTGTCACGTTCCTGTTCGCCTGGCCTTTAAGAATCCTTGGCAAAACCCAAAAGATGCTACCAATGTTTATTTTTCCAGAAGCTAAGCATGCTAAGTAAAATCCTACCCCCGTATAAAGCCTGGCCAGAAGGCCCACCTGCTAAAAGTCACAATGCTAAACGTTTTGTTAATAAGCCAAATGGCCACCCAATACTTCTCTTTTAAAAACAATGAATAGCTGTATTCTCCACTCATTTACAAGTAGCTTCTGGAGAAGTTGAACCTCCCCAGGAAAAGTCTGGAGTCAAAGTTATTTAGTACAAAATTTGGCTTCATGGTTCTGAAGAAGGAGTATTGGAATCGACCCTTAGGAGCTCTGAAAGTATCCTGAGCAATAGGAGCGAGGTCAAGTGATGTGACGCTCTCTAATTGTGAGTACGTATTCTTTTTTTTAAAAAATATATTTTATTGACTTTTTACAGAGAGGAAGGGAGAGGAATAGAGAGTTGGAAACATTGATGAGAGAGAAACATCGATCAGCTGCCTCCTGCACACCCTCCTACTGGGGATGTGCCTGCAACCAAGGTACATGCCCTTGACTGGAATCGAACCTGGGACCTTTCAGTCTGCAGGCCGACGCTCTATCCACTGAGCCAAACCAGTCAGGGCGTGAGTACGGATTCTAAAGGTGTCAGAGACCAAAGACACACGTACACACATGCAAGCACACATATGCATACATTCCCCCCTCCCTTGTAAGAACCAGTTATGGCCAGGAGTGTTTAAAGTGCAAGCATTGAGATGAATTTCTAAGTCACCAGCATCTGGTAGAGATGCTGGGTGTTAACTAATGTTTCATGTTCACAGTAATTGATTTTCACCTTGACTACATTATGCATTTACAACCCTGGTCTGAGAATTTAATGCATTGCCTTTCAAAATCTAATTCAAAGATACAGTCACACCAGCTGATTTGTTTCTGGTGCATCAACCGTGAAAACCGGCACTCAGCTGGCACAGAGGCAGCTGGTCCAGGGGAGAAACTTCAGCCAATGCATAGCCTCCTAAGGCCTCAGGTGTGCCCTCTCCAGCAGAGTCCCTCTGATAGTCCTAAATAATGAGCCGTCAGCATTAAAGAAAACCTTTGATATCTGACCTGCTCCTTCCTCCTCCAGTGACATCTTGGGACCATTAACATTCTCTTTGTTCTCTGCCATTACTGAGGAGTGACAACAGGGAGGTTGCAGTACCGTGCAAGGGAGGGGGAGGCCGGTTTCTGCATCCTGCTTGTCTAGCTCCTTCTAGCCAGTGCCTGTGTTTTTCTGACATCGCTCTGTGCAGCCCTCAGATTGGGTGGCCTGGCTGGCTTCCTGCCCTCACATGGTAGCTGCTGTCTCACCAACCACCAGTCTGTGGGCTTCACTTGCCATGGGCCTGGGAAAGTCTTTCCCTGGAGTGTCAAGCCAGCCAGCTGGTGGGATTCTCTTTGCACTGGCAGAGAGATTCGATTTTATACAACCTGTAACGGAGGCACCAGCTGGAGGGTCACACTAGAATGAAGTGGTTCTGGCTCTGGCGTCCTGCTCGCTCAAGGTCTCCACAGATCTGAGTTCAGCAGCGGCTCTGAGCTAGGGTCCCAGCAGCTGTTCTCCCCGCCCAGTGTTGGGAAGGGCTCGTTTCCTCTGAAAGCTAGGGGCCTGGGGCACGATCAGACAATGTGGCCTGCAGACCTCTCTGTGATGACAGCGCAGGGGCCATGACACAAGAGGAAATCAATGCACAACTGGCCCATGGGGCGTCCGCTGGTGTCCCGCCTGCATCTACTCACTGCAGCCTGGAGGAGAAGCTGCACAAGCAGCACCTGGACTCGCAGACACAGACAATGGACATGGGGAGAAGGCCAAGTGTTCTCAGACATGGGCATTCCCTTCGGGCCTCATCGGATGACGCCCAGGCTATGGGGTTGAGGGGACAGAGGAAAGCCAGGTGTGACGTGTTCTCCCTGCTCCGGGGGTAATGCAGAAAGACAGACATGACGAGGCTGTAGGCTGTGCTGTGCTTACCGGGATCCCTAGGGCTTTAAGAATGTTCATCTTGCACATGGGGCAGGTGCGATGGTCTAGGAGCCAGGGGTCAACACAGGACTTGTGGAAAAGATGCCTGCAATGAGAACCATACAGCTTAGAGCGGCGGCAACTGCAGAGACCCCCTAGTCCAGTAGGGCCCAGATGCTTCTCCAAAGTCACTCAGCTGCTCAGTGGCAGAGCCAAGACTCGAACCTCCGTCTCCTAACACCTGGACCAATGTGTGTCCTGTCATCCCCTACGGCGGTGCAAACTCTGTCTGGATCCCAGGCGTGTCCTACAGGCCTCCCAGTTTCAGAAAGTGTAGAAACAGAGAGAAGCTTCTCTCTCTTAATAGGAAACATGTTTACTGGAAAGAACACAAGGGGAGAAACTCGAACTGGCCTTTCAGGGTAACCTGATAGATACTACGTTTGCAGAATTCCAGAATTTCTTTTCCCACGGTCAGAAGACAACTGCAAAATGAAGGCTCCTTTCCATTAATATTTGGGGGTCTGACATAAAGGGCAGAGGAGATCCCGGAAGCATTTAACAACACAAATGACCTTTTTAGTTGTTAAGGCTGCCGGTTGTCAAGTCAGAAGCCAGAGTGAAAGGGGCGGTAACCTTTCCTGTTTGGACAGCTGACATTTGTGCTCAACCCCACTCCATCCCTGGGTGCCAGGTTCTCTGAGCTTTCATCTGGGGGCAGGCTAAGGGGGCATTTGGTAGATGTGGGAGGGCGCCAACTGAACTGCCTCTCCACTTGGCTCTCGGAGTCACTCTGTCAGACACTGTTGGAGTCAGAAGCTTGTTTTCTCACTCACAAGATCCAGATCACGGGCAGAAGCAGTCAGAAGTGCCTGCCTGGGGCAAGAAGAGAGAGAACTGTCTGTCTTAAGGGTGAGGGCTTTCTTAGGACAGTGCCTCCATGCCTGACCCTCTCTCCTCGGGATGCCCTAAACCTGGAGTACTCCCACTCTCTCTTCTCATCTCTCATTCTAACAGTTCTCACAATGTTCTTTGTGTTAGACGGCTTTAGGCCAAGTGCTTAAAAAGTCCTCCCTGCCTCAAATTAGAGAATTGTGCAGGAAAGGGCTGCCTTTTAAATTGAACTTGGGAAGTAGCCATGTGCCAAGGATGAGATTAGCTGTATAGAGGATGTCTTCAGATTGGTGATTAGAAAAAAGGAGAGTGACAACTTGGATGTGTCATTGTGTTTGCAGATTACTGTTTAGAATGCCCTGCAGATTCGCTGCTTAGGAGGCATGTATCTCATTCATTCATTCTCTCACCCACACCTTCGTCCAACAAGTAGTGTCTGCCAAGAACTGTGCTCATCACTGGGAGTCGGCATGATAGAGATTTGGCCCCTTCCCTTAGGGCAGTGATGGCGAACCTATGACACGCGTGTCAGAGGTGACATGTGAACTCATTTTTCTTTGTTAAATGGCATTTAAATATATAAAGTAAATGTCAAAAATATAAATCTTTGTTTTACTATGGTTGCAAATATCAAAAAATTTCTATATGTCACACGGCACCAGAGTTAAGTTAGGGTTTTTCAAAATGCTGACACGCCGAGCTCAAAAGGTTCACCATCACTGCCTTAGGGAATATAACAGGAGAGGCAGACATTAATAAAATAATAATATAAAATAAACTGCTTAATGACACCAGTGGTAAGTACCACATTAGAAGAACAGGAGTGGGGAAGGATTTATAACAAGGAGAGTTTCCCGATGAAGTGCCAAAGCTAAGACTGGAGGGCTGCATAGACATCCACGTGAAGGGGAGGGGAGAGGAAGGAGGACATTCTAAGCAGAACCACTGGCTGGACAAAAGCCCTGAGCTGGGCACTGGAAGAAGTGGTCCCAGCACAGTGAGGGAGGGGCTGAGGCTGGATAGAGTCCTGCCTGCACAACCACCCCTCTCCCCAAGAAATACCTCTCTCCCCACGTTCAGGCTCTACCTTCAGGAAACAAGTTCCTAATCTGACTTTGCTCACCACCTGGTGTTCCTCCTGGGAACCAAGTAAAACATTCTGGCCCCTTTGACTGGCCCTGGGAGGCAGGCTCTGCATTGTCTCCTGAACACAGACTGGAGTGGGAATGAGGGCAGGCCCCCTCATTAGCTGTTGTAGCTTAAAGAAGTCACTTAATATCTCCAAGTCTCATCTGCCTCATCTGTAAGATGAAGATCTACTACTCACATGGAGAAGCCTTCCCTGAGTGTCCAGTTCACCGAAGTGAGTACTTCCTCCCTAGCACTCTGAGTGATTTCTTTCCATGCACTGGTCTTACAGCTTCTGTGATGGTTAGGGTTAGTGCTATGTGTCAACTGGGCCAGGCTATTCAACCAAACACTAATCTAAGATATTCTGTAACTATGATTAATATGTATAATCAGTTGCCTTTAAATAAAGGAGATTATCCCAAACAATCTAGGTGGGCCTATTCTAATCTGTTGAAAAGTTTTAAGAGCAAACCCTTTTTAAGAGAAGACATTCTGGCTGAAGGAGGCATAATTAATAGCTGCTCAGTTTTCAGCCTGTAGGCCTGCGCTGCAGATTTCAGACTTGCCAGCCCCTACAATCACATAAGCCAACTCCTTGAAAATATATAGTGGGATATAATGTTTGGCATCCTGACTGATGCATCCCCCAATGAGATTACCTCCATGAGAGCAAAACCCCCCTTCGCCTGATTGACTGTTGTATCCCAGCATTGAGAATAGTTCCTGGCACACAGATAAGAAATACTTGCTGCATTAGTGGGTATTTATCAAAGGCCCTGGCACTCCTCACTGCCTGCACATGGTCAGGTCACCCAGTCCCATGGACCCACTCTTCCTAAAAATCTTTCACATTCATTGCTTTGCTTTTCTCAGTGCTGTTCCCTCATTCACAATCTCATGACCTTTTTTTCTGTATTATTCCACTAACATCCAAACTGGTCTCCATGCCACCAGTCTTTCCCTGCTCTCTTCATCCCACTCTTCCTTGCCAGATTTATCTTTTTAAAATAAAGTATGAGTTACGTCACCCCCTTGTTCCATTCTGTTCTGTGCTAGGAGCTGGGTATGAATTTGAATAAGACAAGGTCCCTCCTTCAAGGCAGTGCTACAGCCCTTCAGTGGCTCCCTGGGAACTAAAACGCCAAGGCCATTGAGAGGTCACTCCTGGATTCATTTTCTGGCTGTTTGATCTTAGGCACATCTTAGCTCTCCAAGACTCAGACTCTCATTGGTAAAATTTTATCTTCTAGGTATGGAGTTTACAAGTGAATAAGTGTGAGTGTGTATGAGTGTGTGTGTGTGTGTGTGTGTGTGTGTGTGTGTGTGTGTGTGTGTGTGTTAGAGAGAGAGAGAAAGAGACAGAGGGAGAGAGAGAGAAAGAGAGGGAATAAATAATGCTCACAAAGCTTAAATCATAAGTCTTGGCCCTCCTTAATTGTAAACTACCATTAATCTTATCAATACTACTACTGCATCTTGTTATTTATTTACTAGAGGCCTGATGCATGAAATTCATGCAAGGGCCTTGGCCCTCGTCACCCCGGCTGCCTTGGCCGGCCCTCACAGCCCCGGCTTTGCCCAGAAAGTTGTCCGGATGGTCGTTCTGCTGTTCGGTCTAATTAGCATATTAGCTCTCTCTCTCTCTCTCTCTCTCTCTCTCTCTCTCTCTCTCTCTCTCTCTATATATATATATATATATATATATTTAAATTCTCACCTGAGAATATTTTTCCATTGATTTTTAGAGAGAGTGGAAGAGAGAGGGAGAGACAGAGAGAAACATTGATGTGAGAGAAACACATCGATTGGTTGCCTCCTGCACACGCCCTGACCAGGGCCCTGGCTGGCAAGGAGCCTGCAATTGAGGTATGTGCCCTTGACTGGAATCAAACCCAGGACTGTTCAGTCCGCAGGCCAATGCTCTATTCACTGAGCCAAACCGGCTAGGGCTGCATCTTGTTTTTAGATGTTATTACTCTGTACTCTACTTTCAGAATGAACTTACCAAGGTTGAATGCAAGTAACTCAAAATTTTAAAAAAATCACAGGAGGAACTAAGGACAAAAAAAGTGCTGAAATGACTCATAGGGTGATCATGCTGATCATTAACTAATATTTCTAGCATATTTTTTGTTAACCATCAAATATGAAGATATATCCTTATAATTGGATTGCAACCCCCCACCCCCAAATGGAAAGAAAAATAGAAGTCACTTGACTAAATAAATAAACAAAAGAACAGGGGAAGACTCTGGAATTTAGTGCAATGCACCCCCAGATTAGTAAACATCTGTAAGGCAAAGTCAATCTCAACTCTTCCTATTTGTGCAATTCTCAGTAGAGCACTGTCCCTTCCCCCGTTTTATCAAAAGCTGGGTGAGGAAATACATCAGAGGAACAAAAGGACAAGATATTCTATCTCTTAACAATCCCAACAAATTGGAAGTACAACAGGGGGTTGATCAAACTCTTCTCCTTCCTAATTCACCGAAGAGAAGCAAACGTTTAGAAAGTGTTCTTCAAACACCTCACAAAACATGATGTCTACAGCTGCATAATGATGCCGAGAGGATGATGAATAATAAAATCAGGTCTCACAGTTTTAGCAGCACTGAACACCCAGTTTGACCCATTTCGCCATCTATTGATTCTTGTTTTCTCTTGTCCTTTCACCTGTATGTGTAAATCCCACCCCAATTGAATGACAATTTTTTTCTCCATGTGGAGGAGGAAGGGCTGTTCTGGCCGTTCCATCTCATTCCCTTTTGCAGGCTATGAACGCCCGCCCCCCCTCCCCCCTGCCATTGAGATCAGGGTCCCTGGCTTTCCTTTTGGCATCAATGAAAGCTGTTTCATTCCCCTTGGTGAAATGGCCATCAAAGAACGTGATGATGAACTTTGTGTCGCTAAGTGATTCCCTTCCATACTGTCTCATCTTTCTCTGTCCCCTCTGCAGACCGTCCTTACAGTGATCACCGCGTTGTGTTCTGGGCTCGGTGTGAATCAGGCCAGTTAAGCAGGTACAGCCCCTCCTGCCATAAACTCCTTCCAACTCCTTCCGCTGTGGGGGCGACTCTGCCA